AACTGCCAGTGGAGCGATGCTAAAGTACTTTTGTATAGAAGTATACGGTAAAAAATCTCAAAATATTGAAAGGGCGGCAGTCGTCGCGCCGCGTATTGTTCGATATGGGACCCATAGCAACGTATACAACGCGTGTAAAATACGTTGTTTGTTTACTGTAGAATACTTTATTTTCGCTTGGAATTTATTTTCGCTATTTTCGCCGAAGGGATGATTCCGTGAAAATAAAATCCAGTGAATATACTTTTTTTCTATATTTCACATTAATCTCATCAAAAATCAGTGAAAATAAATTCCAAGCAAAACGCCCAAAAAGCCTTTTCAGCGAAAATTAATTCCAGCGAAAATAAAGTATTCCACAGTACATAAAATTCGACCGCCGCCCTTTAACTTAATTTGAACTCGACATAAAAAAACTTGAATTCTGGGAAATGTTTGTCAAAATGTTGAGCTAAACGAAATAAATAAATATTATATTGGAGTTTGTCGAATATTTTGCAGAAGATTATCTCAACATACACTAACGACAAGGAATCCGTGACGTATGCAAGTCGTTCAATTAAAGTCACTTACCGTCCGCGGAAAAAACTGAAGAGAAAGACGTTTGGACTGATCAGATCTGTTCCCAGGTAACAATACGAGATGAGTGGGCTTTACACACGGGTTTTATTTATTACGGCGATACTGAAAATAAATTATGTTTACCATCTCTTCTTTCCAATAACTGGCACCATAACAAATCCATTCTTTGACGTCATCGCGTACGCTGTTCCAAATACCATGGTTACATAGGTCGGTGGAACAGTGAACGCGATGTAGGGAGGGAACGGAACATTATTTGAGGGACAAAAAAAAAAACAAGTCTCGTGGTTCTCAACGAGATCTCGGCGGCCATTTTAAAGTCTATTGTAATAATAAGCGCTCCATTAATGAGTCGAAAATGATTTTTTGTTTGTTATCTTACACAAAATGTTGAAAATTAATATACTGATAATAAAAATGTGTGGTACAACATGGACTTATACGTAAAGAAAAACGGTATGTGAATGGGAGCGTCTCATAGACAGTTGAAAATAATTTGCTTTTCGACTATTAACTCTAATTTCATAAACGCTGGTCACATGACTACGTTTTGTTTACACAATTGGTGCCGCAGTGATAATTGATGAAAATATTAAAAATACGCCTTGAAAAAAAGTTGATTGAACCTACATGTATATGTAATCGACAGTGAATATTTTGAATTAGTCTGAGTGGATTCGTGGTGAAAGTAACTTATGAATAACCGAGTGTCACTTCAGCATAATGAAAATACTTCCGTTATGGTGAGTCTGCACAGAGTCAGGTAATCTACAATTGGCAATGCGATACAAATCCAATGAACTACCTTTCCCCGCACCTGTAAGGCCATCGCTGATTGGCTCCTGATACCGGATGACGATTTCAGTTTCAAATACCCCGGAAATGTGTAGTTTCATCGGAAAATTAGGCGCTGGTATGCACGTGCTTTGTTAACGCAAAAGCGCATTTTTCATTTAGTGATGCTCAAATGTTACCTCTGATTCACTGCTTCTTTTGTACGAAATTTTGTATTTTCATGTTCGTCAAAAACTATTTTGTATATGAAAGCAAATTACATCTTGAAGAAAGAGACTGACTAGTTCACCGGAAGTGGTTAATCTCAAATTGACAGCGTACTACTTGATATGTCTCCTTAAATCATCACAAACGGATATGCCACGATCATTATGTCATTTAACGCTATAATATTTCTACCTAAATATGAATGAATATCCTCAATCAGAGCTAATATGTTCAATTTCCAGCCGTATTTAAACCATTGCCATGACAACAACATGGCTGCCGCATAAACACCTGTCAAATGTAGTCCCTAGAATTCAGTGTCACGAAAGGTTCATTTTAGCTTTTACATAAATATGCGATTATACTTCTATTATTATTGATGAGAAAATAAATACTATGTTGAGTCGTGATTCACTGTTTGTTTGTTTGTGCGTATTGACTTTTCGCGCCAAATAGTTGTATTCGAGCGGTAAAAGGTTGTAATCGAGCAGTAAATGGTTGTATTCGAGCGGTACCTTTGCACACACCTTCGTATCTCTCTAAGCACGTACGTTATTAGACTGGGCAAATGAGATAGACATCTTGGGTCAAGCAAATATGGCTGATTTTATATTTCAGCGAAGACTCCACTCGGCAAAAATATCACGGAAAGATACAACAGTCCCAGAGCTTGACTTACATAAAAATAGTGTTAAGTGTTATTATTTATACGCTGCGTTGAAAACTGTTCACAATAATTTAACCACTGATAAATTTGTTTTCGTTTTCGTGATTAAAGATGGCGGACAGACGAAACGATCTCAGCAAGTGTCATTAGCGATGTATTCAAGTTCAGATGAATGTTGGCGCTGTATATTGCAGTACTATATGCAAATGAACATAAAGTCTCATAAATAATATTCACTTATTCGATTTTCGTGCGATTTGCTCGTATTTTGCTAAGCTGTTTATGCGCTTGGGACTGAAAAAAAAACAATTATATTTTGATAAGAGTCTTAATTTAAGCAGCGAATCAAATGAATTATAATCACAGCTTATTATATTAAATGGAATCACCAGGAGTTAAATGTCACATCCGTATCTGTGTATTCTTCCAATATATGTGTATGGCAAAGAAGTTCATTGTCAGGCCTGGTTTGGTGTTCTATTCGTTAAACCAATTCAGTATTATGTAAGGTAAGACACACTGCGGGGTTTCCCCGAGTACTCTTGGGGAAATAAAATACTCAGTACACTTTGAAAGCTATACACAGGAGTCACCGAAACCACGTGATCGCATGTTAGTTGGCAATGAACGCTTGATAAGTTATTTTTAAAAAGCCTATTTCCCATTTACGGTCAATAGCTGGCTTAATTGCTAGCATCGTATCTAGCCGATCGCGGAGCTGCAAGTATCTATTTCTTGTATTCAAACATGGTATTTTACATGTTTTATATGATAAAACGAATAACTATTAACGTATAACAGTCTTTTACTGACTCATTAATACACAACGTCGACCTTTTTGCTGACTGGACGATAACATAAACAGAATGGGCTTGACATTTTTTACTGAATAAATGAATAAATTACTAGCCGAATTGTAACGTTTACTGGCATATACTGCATACATAATTTAATGACTCCATCTACTGCCTCTACCAATAACGTGAACAGGTTTTTTAGCGCATTTTACGCTGCATGGTTGACAATAATACTTGTTATTATTATTTTGCAACTTATTTCTCCGTTTCACACGGGACTTAAGAAGTCCTCGGGAAGACGTCTTTATCGGACATGTGATGATTCAGAATGCGAAAAACCAGAACTACATTTGAATATTGATTTTATAGAACACATAGAAGACATGGAACATTCACTCAAAATATCTTTTTGTAGTATGTTCTAGTTGTGAGATCATTACCCAGAAAACGTATTCAAGTGAAATGTGCGCTAGAAATTAAACTGACTGTCTACTGTATAGTTTGTATTTTTACTTTAGTCATTAATGAAAAACTTTTGATTATTTGATTATGATTCGTCTCTCACAGTCAGGATTGTCAATTTTACCGATTAAAGGGAATTCTAAATATTTACTTTCGATATTTAAAAAAAATAATTTTTCACTATGTACAAAATATTCTGCATCCGAACTACAGATAAAGTGACCTTTGACCTCTGATAACCTTTAATATGCGTTGCCGCAAATACGGGTTACGCTCTGTTAGTCCACAACCTGTTGGTTTTTAGTAAAATCCTTGTCAAAAAATTGCAGGTTTCGTATTTATGAAAAGATATCAACTACAATCAGTTAATCACTGGAAAAAAAGGTGTGTTCACGTATAAAGTGTGAAATCTACAATGCATACAAGATGGCGACTGTTGATGACATCACCATGGATGCGAGCACCGACCGGACTTGGACAGCACTCGAGTAATGACTGATCAAGTTGTTGCTGCTTGGAGTCAATGAGGGCGTCGCTCCGCTGTTGCACAATTCATCAGTGCAGCAATTTGTTACAGTAGTTCCTATAAAAGCCAACAATATTGAGCATTAAGTACTAGTTCTATACAGTTACAACTGTATAAAATGATATTACATTTTTGTGATTATATCACTCCGCGGCCGCATTCCATTGGCACGGACTGGAACTCATGCGTGGGTGAACTATTCCCTAAAATTCGACCGCGATTCAGGAACTACGTTTACAATTCAAACAACAAATGCGACCTTTCTTTCTTACATTTTTCAGTTGATTTAGGTCATGGATTATATTTCGATTATATTTCTTTCGAGCGTCCAGTGATCGACTGAACCCTTCACACCATGCACGTGTCACTGTGGCTGTCTTAGTTCGACTAAGCCGGAAGTTGTAGTTATTAATATAATTCCAAGAATTGACAATATAAAATTTGTTTATTTATAAAAATAGTCTCCTCCGCAATTTTACAAAATGTACAAAGACTGTGCACGCATTGTACTCGTGGAATTTGTAAAGATAAAGTTTTTGAAGAGTTTTCACTGAAATTTTTGAAGTTTGCTATCAAGACATGCAACAACGGGAGATTAAAGTAAAAAAATCCATTTCAATTCATCAATTAACTGATGAAAATAGGTTTTCCTGACCGGAGGAACGTGAGAACATCCTTAATAACAACAGAACGGAGAGTGCAGAATACAATTAAAGATAGGTCACGTTTCCATGGTAAAATTGCATTAAAATAATTTAACCAGAGAATAACCCAATACTTTTTGTCCGACACAATATCATGGGAATAGAATTCTAGATAAAATATACTTTTGTTATTGATTAAAATATTTTAATTAGTCCAGATTATTTGTGGAATTTATCACTGACTAAACGTTTAACATTGTATTGTAAAAGTCCGTAATATTTATAGGCGTTCCAGTTTGTAATCGCATTTAAATATAAGCATCTCTCCAAGTAGTTGCAGATGTCTGTCCAGGAATAACTCTCAAGGGTGTTTTATTTCTTTGTTTATGTGCCGTTTTACAAAATATAATGGTTATGGTTAATATAAATCGTGCCTCCCGATCACATTTAACCCACCTTTGTCAGTATAACCATTTATCATATTTCGAGCGATTCTATCATGTCCTTTCCAAATAAAAAATAATTATACTTTTAATTTTCTTTATATCGATTGGTTCGATGTTGATAAAATTAATTATGTCTATCATTTTTGGGTGTATCATTGATTTGAAAATTGTTATTTTACCGATTATAGTAAGTCTTCTAGATGATCACAAATTCAGTATGGACTTGACTGAGTCTAGTACTAGAAAGATAATATTCAGGTCGTTTTCGTTGTACGAGAAAAACGTTTCAAAAATTTTAATTCCGTGATGTTGGTCATTTGACCCTGAACGAATGATCTCAACGAAGCATAAAGGGCGGTGGTCGTGGCGCTGCGCATGTGTGACATTGTTGTTGATAAACATTGATTTTCCCACAATCCAATGCGCTCTTCTAATGGAAATCACAAGTATGAAGTTTGACCTGGGCGCGACTTGCACTAATTACCGTCGGTGACTACTTCGATACCCTCCAATCACCTAAAATTCCCCCAATAAAGCTCGGCAACGTCTCTGTTTGTACTCGTTGATCTGCGCAACAGCCAAAGTCGCCATCTTTGTTTATATAAGACCCATATATCTCGCGCATGCGTGGCGCGACGACTACCACCCTTTAAACATCAGCATTCTAGGCCGTTCTGATATGACCTGCTTCACACGTTGTCTTCAGTGCACCGAGGGGCATATTAGGTGTCAGTTAGATGTAAGTCGCCGGCACACAAATTAAAATCGATGCACTAAATCTGCATCACGTAGAAAAGGCACAATATGCGTCGATCCGTGGCAACTCTTCATACATTGTCAAAGCGGACGTGGTTAAATTTAAGTTAAATAAGCTTCTGACATTTTTCACAAGAGAGCGAGTACTTACCTCCTTCCAGCAGCTCTTCGACTTGAGTACACACCGCACTATTTACACACGAACGTACGATAGATGTCACATCACCGTCCATTGTAATATATACAGACTGAAAATAAAACGAAAAAATTTATAATAATATTTAAAAGTCAAATAAACTGATACTTGCGTACGCATAAAATGTTGCTCAGCAACAACGCATAAATGGACAATTCGCTCTTCATGCATGCGACAATAAAAGAGAAAATTACGGTCACCCGAACTCAGATCCAACAAGCATTCATAGTCCGCTTATGCAAACAAGTATCTTCTGTAGCAGTATTCTGGGAAAACATTTTGCTGTTGAAAAGACGTATAAAACATCGCGCAAATAAAAAAAAAATGGAGCACCTCGTTCTTGAACTGAAACGTTCGCTATATGAAAATATGAAATCCCGTCATGTTATCCATGATTCAAATTCACCGCATGTTCACAGACCCGTGCTCCGTTTTACGTCCGAGTACTTTTTCTGTATCTGTTCACGTAAACTAGAATAGTTGGAACGTTTTTATGTATTTGTTCATGTCTTTCTTTATCGACATATTTGGAATATTAGACAACAAATCGTGCGGTTTATTTTGTGTGATATTTTTAAACTTTAAAAGGTTAATCTAATCACCATGCAACTTTCGCAACCGGTGATGGTAGCAGTCGATACATCCGGGTTCTTACAGCTAGACACATCATCGCTTAGCAAACTGGAATAACTGCATATGTAACAACTGGTAGAGTCTGTATCTAAAATGCAAACGACGAAAAACGGATCGGAGATGACAATATCACACTGACATCAGATTATAACGATATGCGTTTTCATAGATTCAACATTTGGAAAGTGAAGCTGCAAAATTACCCGATAAAGGACAGACTGTTCTTACAAAATAGAGAAACATTTTTGATGAATAGCGCCCTCGACGACGGATTTCAATGAAAGAACACATGACGTCGATTTCGAAAAATTCGACAACTTGAATTCAAAGCACAATCTTGAACTTCAAATACTGCAATTGTAGATGACGCCACAATAGTGCCAATCCGTCATGTTCACTGATAATACTTACTGGAAGATGTTAATGACGGTGTCGCCCCATTGTTACACAGATCACCAGCACAGCAATTTGTGACAACTCCAGTTCCTACCGAGTAACAATTTGAATATTATCTTTTCTGTAAGTTGCGCCCTCTAGTGTCTCGTGGCTATCTAGCTTTCGTGAACGAGATCTCAAACTGAGTTAGGTGAACGAAAGTAATAACCGTTCGTTGACATTAGACACTCAACACTAATACCCCAACGAGTTACATCAGATCATGATCAAAGCAATATCGACGCTGTGACGTCACTAGAGGGCGAACCTACCAAAGATGTAACCAACTTCACGATAGAACGACGTGAGTTATATTGTTAAAGCGTAATGGATCTTCACCTGCGCATGCGCGAGAATTGAGTCCCAAGCGACGATAACAACGCACACTAAAAATGAAAGGGCTCGTGGGTAGACGCTTGTTTGTAAAAATCGACACACTATGGCCGTTTGCCGCATGCGCAGGTGACGACTCCCCCGCTTTAACCGGAGATGAGATGCAATAACAGTTTGTGTTAAATCGGCTGTGTGAACCCATCTGCCCCTTCGACAATCATAAAGAATGGACTAGTGATTATTAAAAATACCAAATATTTTAAAGAAGAATAAAAACAACAACAATACAATCTTATTTTAATCACACTAATCAGACTACATATGTAGAACATTGTTAAAAGTGAAATGGACACTGTCGTCATAACTACGCATGCGCATACTCTACTATCACACTGACGAGTAAACATTCGTGTTTGTAAGCACTCGACCTCTACCCCCTCCCGCTCCACACACGCGCACATGTGCAGTTACGACGACAGTGTCACGTGACCCATGAATTCACCTGCAAACGTTATGTCTTCAATGCAAGCAATGCCTGTGCTGCAAGTGCGTGAGATAGTCGTCACAACACCATTCACCTTAGTAAACACGGACTGCAAATAAAACGAACATTGTTTAATTGTTTTTAAAAGTATTGAATACAACAGTTCCAATCCACAGTTTGTGCCGAACTATGTGGATTTTCTAATAACCTTATTATAGTTGTAGTGTCTGTGTCATATCTTAAAGCGCGGTAGTCGTCGCGCTGGGTCTCATATAAACAAAGATGGCGACTTTGACTGTTGCGCAGATCAACGAGTACTGAAACGTTTCTAAGCTTTAATTAGGTAATTCTCATGTTATTCGAAGGTATCAAGGAGTCACCGGCGGTAAACACTGCAAGTCGCGCCCAGGTCAAACCTCATACTGATTTCCATTTGAAGAGCGCATTGGATTGTGGGAAAATCCATGTTTATCAACAAAAATATCGTACATGCGCAGCGCGACGACTACCGCGCTTTAAGTCTGTCTGTGCCATCTTAAATGGTGGTGGTCACGCATGCGCATGCTCAATTATCACAGTGCCGCGAATGCCCACATATCCACAGAAATAACTTTGAGTATTTCGCAGGGTTTTCAAGAAAAGAGACAGTACTTAGGTTTACATAGGCTTCCAGGTTCCTAACTACAATGTATTCATTTCGTCAATCCAAAACCGACTTGCACGCGTACTTGCAAACATATTAGGAGAGCGTGGCAGGACGTATTTGTTGACGCAGATTGTGCAGGACGACCACCACTCGTTAATCATTATGCAATGGGTGTACTGCGCATGCGTGCATGATGTTCAATACGCGCTATTTACCATTCCGAGCATGCGCACAATAACGCATGACAAGTACATGAGAACAAGAGATCCGCACATATCGCATAAATTTTTTAGGAGATTTTTTTTTTCTGTCTGTTGCGATTATGTAAACAATAGTATGCATATGACATACATTCACTTTGGTCATTGGTCATAAAATCATGTTCGGCATGCCGCTATTTTCTTATACAATAAGCGGCATAGGATGGCTAAATCTTGTTTCATTCTCGCCCGCCTTCACGTGCAATGTTATCCCGATCAACGTATGTACGTATTTGGGAGAGTGGACTCGCTGATGGAAGCGAAAAATGTAACAGTATTAGAGAGACAAAAAACAAGTCTCGTGACGACTCTCTCGGAACGAGAGATAGATAGCCAATCGCATCAAAGGTATATTGGGTAACAATTTTTCTTAAAGTGTATGGGGTGAAATACCCATTTATCTACACATTTATGTTCATGGTTTCTGTTGCCCTGGAATGGATATTTGCAAACAAATTAAAATTAAATTTAAACAATAAAGCATCTTCGAGTAAATTGAAAAAAAAGTTTCCGTTTTGTAGCCACACCCTTCCTGTCACAGTGCGACTGTTTCTGACTTCTCCCGAAGTGAAACTGCGCCACCAAACGTAAGACAGGGGAATGTATTTGAAGATTCATTAAGGTATAGATGCAAGTTCGTGGGCACTTGGGAGTTATTTTTTTGCTTGTTATCACCCTAACAGTCTTGGCTATGGACTGTTTAATTTTCGCAGCATTGTGAATAGTGGAACATACTAAAAAAACGTTTTTAAAATGTAGAAAACAGGACTGGTACAATCATTCTCCCTTTGGAGTGCTTAGCAAGATTTCGCAAGGCTGTACAAAAAGGCTGTGAAAAAAGAAATGACGGAATCTCCATATTATGCACTATATTTAAGGGACTGTTACAGCCATTTTAATTATTATGAGTATTAGCAAAATTCTTTCAGAGTGAATGATTATGCAAATTAACCATTATCTCCACTTGTGTTTTTCAGAGAAGTTCAAATCATGGATAGTTCTAACAATATTTGTATATTTCAATTGAAACTTTCACACTATGTTTGTCTTTTGTTTATTAAACCCAGCCGTTATTTTGTTCGTAAAGACGTCGTCGAAGTAGTGTGAAAATTGCAAGAAAAACTGACAAAAACTGTGGGAGCTAATTAAATTTCAATCTTTTTGACCAACCGGAAAACGCGAACAGAGATAATGCCGGTTTTATGAAAGTGACGTTTATCGTCTACAAAAAATGGCTATCGCATCACTACTAAATGCCAAAATCCGCCGCACACCGACGCTGATGTTCAATCGTCAAATAAACAAATAAATAAAAATATTTACAATTCTAGGGAAACGAACGAAATATCGTCGCGAAGTTACAACCTTTCGTGAAAACTGTCATGGCGTCGAGTTATCAATTCTACTGATGGATTGCGTAAAGCCGATGAGATATTTATACAGTTATATAAACATAACAACTACATTTACCTTTCCTCAAACCTTTAAAAAATACTTTGTATGACGCAATTTTTCGTGATCCAAAATGAAATGAATCTTGCGAAGTTCAACATTATTCTAGTTTTAGTTAGACGAGCCGGTTGAAATAGGCCGTAACATTTTGCTGAACAGCTGCTATTCGCAGTTTTTACTACTCAATCGTCAAAGACATTATCGAAATGAAGTCGCATTGGAAGGGGAACTATTGTAAATCAAGGCAGGTTTCATTCAAGTACAGACGAGACGGGCCGATAAAAATGAAACGAACCCTGACCTCTGGAAACACCTCATTCATAGAGTGCCTAAAGTTAGTACCAGATGTCGCCGAGTACAACCATACAACGTACTTTGTGACACCGCTACTGGTACATGCTGGGTGACAAGAGGATTTCCGATTACGGTAACCAAGTTGGCATCGCAGAGTACTTTATTTGTCCGTGGTGTTTAAAAACAGCATCTCGTTGCCGATTTTTCAGTAATTTCCAGGGTATATTTTTGTTATTTTTAATTACCCGAGCATTTTACTTTTGTGTATTTTGACACTGAAAAGTTAGTTACCGAATATACGTAGCAATGCTATAAACACGGTGATCATTACAGCGAAAATTGTTTACTTCAGTGTTAAAATGCCTTCGGAGAAAAGTGTATGTTCCAGCATTGACAATGCTTCGAAATTTTAACACTATCTAGCCAAGACTGTCTGGGTAAGAAAACCACGAGCCTGCATCTATACCTTAAATATGGAGTAAATCATACCTTGCCAATGAAATATTAGTTAGATTTTGATATTTTATGCCATACTTACATTCCTGACTAACACCCTATTGGGGTATTTTAAATATTAACTTACATGAATGTTTTTGATTAAGAGTAAAAGTTGTTGCAATTAATATACCTGATTTAAAATAGTTGTAATAGTTAAAAATCATCAAAATCTGTCCGAGTTTTTATTTGGGGTCTGAGCTGTAAGTATGTAGTATTTTTTGACTCACCATACAATCGGTACATCCGGTGGCGGTTATAGTCGATGCACCTGGATTGAGACAGTTGTATACATCGGTGATATAACTACTGTACGTGCAAACGTAGCAGTCCCCACGTGCTGTATCTGAAATATATGGAAATCATTACGCCATTACCAAACTGAAATCAAATACTAGTATGTCCCATTCACGCCCTCTAGCGGTGAAAAAAACATCATGACGTGCGTAGGTGAAAGCAATGTCTTCACCTTTCTCTAGAGGCTTTCGTCATTGAGAATATAGTTAATCTCTCAAAGGCATTTATTTTGTTTTCCTTTCTCAAAGGCATTTATTATTGGCGAATGACAGGCCGAAAAAATTTCGACGCAGTGACGGGCCTTCTGCTTATCCAATTACGTCATTGAAGCGCTTCGTCGACAGAGGGCGCAACTTACAGGATATAATTATGTCTCCTGAAAACTCATAAACAGGCGCCAAAATTAATCATTACACACGCGGTCATCTATTTTTAGAATCGAATATTCAATGATTCAATACATAACAAGTCTTCAAGTCAATGAAAATGCCCCCCCCCCCGCAAAAACCTTTAATTTTGTTTTTATCTATGCATGTAAAAAAGTGTCAGTTTTGGACGAAAAAGGCTACAAATGCGCGTCGCGTCATAACTCTGAAACATGTTGGCCAATTTTCACGATATTCACTACAGATGTACACAAAATACACTTTTAATATAGGTGAATTAGAAAATTAAAAAAAAAGTATTATTCAGTTCGTCACATGTGTTCAGCGAGAGCTAACAGACATTTCACTTTATCTGTAATATATTCGTGAGTTCATCGTATAGTGTATAGTGCGCCAGATAGTTTGTCTAGCAGACGAACCATCCATATATGTGATCACGCTACCATGTCAACGTGTCATACTGCTATGATGTTATGAAGAGCCTCAGCCTGGCGTTTGTTGTCAACCGATGCCCTATTGGTCTTTTCGCATTTATACTCACCCAGCGACATAGAAAACACAAAGGTCAACACTACGACTTTGTACGCCTCTTTCATTGTGATAGATCAGTGCCTTCTTTAGAAGAATGCTGCGAGCTGTAAAAACAATTTGTTAAACGATGGTTGTTTACTATTATCCACGGAAGGCATGGTGAGCCTGAGAGACGTCCCGCTATCCATTGTATGTGGGTCTTTAAAAACGCTTAAAATTTATCGTGTTTTATAATCAGTGATGGGTTGAAGCAATACGAAAAAAGGATCGACGCACACACTGGCAGAGTCGGCGATCATAAAACCGATCTTTTTGTGTGTAATTGACATACCCTGACTTTTGATACGTGAATTTCTGAAATGTTGCCAAACTTTTTCATGAGGTTACGTGTAATAAAAATAGGGTAGGTAACTGAAATAGATTCTAAATTATGAACTTTAGTTTTGACCAACTTTCAATTCAAAATGCCGAAAAAACACCCCAAACTGATTGTTTACATACAGGATTAAACAAGGGGGTGGGGTGGAGGAACATGACGGGACAAACAACTACACATCGTGGCCGTCTGAGTGTCTTGGTAGTGTTATTTTTCTATTATTTATTCGGGCATTTCTGAGATATGAAAATTAGGTCAACCTCGATTCATTGCAAAGTCGCACATCCTTCGCAATGCACGGGACTTTTATCTTCTGTACGTCGAAAATAATTCCCCATATATCAGCCTGTTTGTTCACCTCGGTCAAATCATGGACGTACTGGTCAAATCAAGCTACAAAATAGACGAGTCGCGACGCAACGAATAAACAAACCCACGACCTCAATCAAAGATCGGACAACTAATCACACTATGAAAATATACACAGTCTCACTCTATAAGATAATAATAATAATAATAATAATAATAATAATAATAATAATAATAATAATAATAATAATAATAATAATAATAATAATAATTATCAATTCTCAAACATTCAAAAAGTAGAACATGTTATAACGTACCTTGTTATTGCCACTGTGATGTACCTGTTATGTTTTTCACACTACTTCTCTTTCTATATAAATACATCAATGATAATACTATTTCTGTCTCCACAACACGACAATAATACTCCTTAGCAACCGACTCAAGAATGAGGTCGCTTCATTATAAACACTACCGCTTATGCATATGACGTACAGAACCTATCTGTCTACGTTGAGTTTGAAGCTTCTATTCGAGTGAGTGTGCCAGTCCCATTCTCTTATAAGTAGTTCGTTTGTGTCACCTCCGGGGGGGGGGGGGGTGTCGCCACGCAGTTCTCAGCATTGCCCTGACTTGTTATTGTATGTGCAAAAAATGAGCTAGGCCGCTGCACTTCTGTTACTCAGCTGTTTTGAAGATTGTTTTAAAAGGAAAGAGACGTTGCGGCTTGGTGTTGGGGAAGGACACAGGGCATTCTACAACAAAGAATATAGTGTAACTGCTTAGCTTCTATCATTAAATGACAAATTCATGCATCATACAGCGCTGGTTGTTTTTATAGTGTATTCCATTTACTTGGTTTGTAGATGGTTTGGGTGACATACTTCTATTCGGATAAAGCACCTTGGAATATAATTTAAAGCGCGGTGGTCGTCGCGCAGCGCGTGTTCGAATTTCATGTAAATAAACAATGTATTTTACACGCGTTGTATACGTCGCTATGAGTCCCATATCGAACAGGACGCGGCGTCACGACTGCCGCCCTTTAAAAGTTCTCACTGCTTGCAGACTTTACGTTGATGCTATCTCGGATCAGTTTTTTTTATCCCAGTCCGCGTACTCGAAATTCGCTTTACACAAGATGTTTCATTTGAACACATTCATAACATAAATTTAGTTTGTACAACGCCTGAATTCCATAAAAACAGAACTTTATAAACAAACGTACATAAAACTATGATGTAGCAATCGATATCGTGACTGGGGAACACTTTTATAAAACTCTCATCCATGGTCAGCTGCATGGGTTTAGGGCATAAACGGATCAGAGAGGTCATTTCAAGTGCCGCTTAGTTAGAAATGTGGCGTTTTCATCTCCATGCCTGAATTAAATATGAAAATCAAATATTTTTCCACAACCGCGCCATATCGAGTGTACGATTTGACGCATTTCACCGTCTTTATACAACCTTAATTTTGTCTTCGAGTATTCAGAGTTTTTTAGTTAACTATAGCGCGGCAGATCAACGCCGGATTGCCGAGGTCGGTCTTGCAAACCACGCAAATTTGCTTCAATAGTACGACTTCTAAAATCACATCCCGCATTTTGCGCATTGCTTTGTGGTGCACAGATTGCTTAGGAACGTAAATAGCCCACAAGACACGCCCTTGATTGCTGTACTATTGCACAGTACAGTACGTGGTAGAAGTATTACCACAGTACCATAAGTACTGCCCACAATGAATGCTGGCCAAAACATTACATGAATTGTTTGGAGCTAAGGAAAGAACATGCAACAGTGCGTACTCTGACCACACCTAATCAACAGGGTGCATGCCTGCTATATTGTGAAAGAACGGCCTGCGAGCTTGAGTGGACCATACGGGCGGGATACAAACTAGAGCGATTGTCTTTATATTGTGATAACAATACACGACCTATAAAGGTAGTACAAACACTTTTGTCGATTTGAATGACCTTAATTTCACTTATCTACGTCACAGGAGAGCATTGTCGTTAGATGGCTTGACTTACTAGTAGGGATGCATGGCATAGGGGGCGTACTTCAGTAATGCAACACCGCCAATCAAACAAAGTTTGTTGACGTATTTCTAAATCTGTTTTATTATCACATTCCACTGTACGATAACCACACATCAAATACATGGATATTACAACGTATAAAGGGCGTATGCTAAAATATGGAACACTGTCAAGAGGACGTCACATTACTTCACCGTTTTATTTGCAAACGTCAATTGATACAAGCCCGACCAAAGATAAAATGTTTACGAGCCAAACCATCTTTAAATATAAATTTTAGAGAATGCATCGCACTTTGGATGAATTCAGAAAGTCGTTTCTACGACCCTTTACGAATTTCGTACAGGGAAAATGTCGCATTTTTAAATAGTGAAACAATATTCGCACTCTCACCTTGGATCATGCGAGCACCTCGTTCTAAAAACGAACGACTTACTAGTATTAAATTCGAACGCATTTTCAAGAAAGGGTTTTCCCAATGTTAAAGGGAAATTCTTAGAACACAGTCCCCCAACAAGGGAGGGACTGTTCTTAGAATAATAACACTAATAAATGCGGATTGCTTCGAGCAACGAAAAAATACACTATGATAAATACGCAGAAAGTAATGTCAGCAAGTATCACTCTAAAAAGCTACAGTCGAGTCGAGTCGACAAATATAAGTTAAAAAACTCGCCAACAAACAAGCTGCTCTGATTGGTCGAACTTTTAGGGTTGGGTAGCCAATCAGACACGATCTTGTAAGTAGCTTCGCGTGAATTATTCGTGCTCTCTGTTATAGAACTTGGCAGCTAAAACGAGGCACGTTAGCTGTCGGGTATCTTGACATTCTAGTTCCATTTAAACTCACCCACAATAAGAAATACAATAGTTTACGTGTAAATTTAATAGGATTCAAAATATGCAAAAATATTTCTGTAAATTCAAAAACCACTACCCTTACCATGGCCGTCGATTACTTGTTTCGAATAAACCGTTGATGGCGGCATGCATAAACTGATTGAGATAAGGTGGGACAAAGTCCGAGACAAACGCTTGTAAACAGAGAGAAGGACCCATGGTTTAATGCCGCATTGTCGTAAAACTGCCTCATTGTGGCTCTTGGTATTCACCACAGTCATTTACTTCAAGGAAGTTTATTCATGACAATGCAAATCGTACCTCCAAATACAAACCACATCAAATTTGTCATGTGTTTGAGAGTGTAGCGAAAATAGAGGGCGCGAATCGGTTGAATAGTATAGTGTGTAGTTACTTGGCTGTTCGAGTAGTTTATTTAGCGTTACTGCGTGAACCATGCATGACAAAGCAGTACAAACAGCAAATTGCATGAAAGCCTTGTAGTTTATGTCAAATGTATTTAAAAAAAAACCAAAACAATTTCATACCACTGGATTCTTCAATTGTCCACAATATATATTATATATATATAAATTGAAAATCGTATAAAATTAGCAATTATCCGCATTTTTAAATGGTGGTGTCGCGCTCTAACATCGTATTTTACATTCGTCGTATACGTCTCTACGAGTTATACGCGGCTGTGCGACCATCGCCCTTAAAATGCGGAGTGTGCCTACTATGCGCCAATATTTCACATCAACTAAATATATCAACACATTTTCTACACGCTTGAGCGTGTCGTGTTCAATATGGGTCCCATATAGGATACTGTAAATGCATGAATTATTCACTGGGTTTTAAGTTCGCTATTTTCGCCGATAAGTAAAATCCGCTAAATTGAATCTACGTGAACATGTAAAATAACAATAAAACTCATTGCTTCCTTAACAAATTGGTGAAATTAAAACACAGTGAATATGCTCAAAACATAAATATGGTAAAATTAAATGTCAATGTAAAACAAATGGTTGTACAGTTTACAATGTGTTTCAAATATATTATGTTTATCCACTAACATGCGATAGACAGACTGATGTATCGTAATGCTATGCACAGACATCCAAACAAAAAATAACTTTAGTGTTACTAACGTCGATGTTCACGCGAAAATACTGTAAAACGGGGCTTTTGTTAGCGAGCATGTTATTTTAGCTTATCCATACTTTCGCTAATTCAAGTATCGTAAATTTCAAAATAAAGCATTCACACATTGAGACTTTTTGCACTTTATCTAAATTATTTCAACGTCTTTTACAATAGATGGTACAATGATTTATATACTAGTATATAACTTACAATCCGTTGTGGGTTCCTAACCACCATGGGCATTGCGTCATTCTCACTCTGATCACACTACGACCATGCCTTTCAACACAAATATAATTAATTTCGATTTCATTTTAAGAATTTGTGTAGATATTCAATTCTGTTCACCCACAGACCATCTGAAGTTTCAACCCGCAATGTGTACGGCCTATATAATAAGTCAGTTGCAATGACGTTCTACTTCAGAAATCGTATTTTGTCTGATAATTCAGAAACGTTTCGCATCAGCAGAAATGACTCATCACGCAATTCGTGTTCACTCTTGGCTTTTACATATCCAAATACGTCAAACACATTGCCTGGGCAAGACGACTGGGCAGTCAACGTTCTCTCCCACGGTAGCACGTGTCGCCACGCCATCCCGTTGCCAATCTTCGTTACATTGTACATTTCAGCTGAGATGTCTTTCGCATCCAGGCCTATGAAATCATACAACTTCGGGACGAGTTCAAATGGCCTATCTGTTAAATCTTCGTAGCGTACAACTATGTAACTTGCTTTAAACCACTCTGGACCGTATAACACAGCCTGTATGTTGGCGTCTAACCACTGACAATGGTTTTGTACAGCATGTTTGAACTTCGGTAAATTAACCTTACGCGACCATTCATTGCTGAACCGCCATACTTGGAACCGCTCTCTGGATGAAATCATTCCTCGTGGATCACGGACAAGGATAATAACTTTTACGTTATATCTTTGTAGTAAGGACATCGCTTCAAGAATATTGGTAATTCGAATAGTTTTAACAATACTGTGACGTTTTGTTTTACAATATGAAGTCAATTTTTCGGGAGTGATTGTTTTGTTTTTTACCCCTAAATTACTGATGTTCATTTGAGTTGTGACCCAGGGGGCGCGATTCAGAAAATAGACCAATAAAGGACTATGGGAATAATTACATTGAAAGAAACCCTCTATCACTTCAGAAAGCTCCGGCTGCAGTGGCGATAACTGCGAGAAACTGTCGTCATATGCATTAAACGTGTACTGTTGAGAATGGCGAAATATCAAACCAGGCTCGTACAAGTACTGGAAGTCAGGACGTGAAGAAATATATCTCGCGGTCGAGGACGAACCAGTTCGCATCCGGGCATGTATCAATACACGTATTGGTCCAGGTGCTGTAGCGCTCGTTGTTGGAATGTTGGCATCCTCTCGCAATTTTATCGAACTTCGGTAATAATTATTAACGTTATCCCGCCATGACGTCATTAACAAAACATTCGCAATAACCAGGGCCATTACAACAACTGCCACTAGTCTTTTGACTGGAACCATATTTGTTATTTGTTTCCTCCAGACCTATAGTAGAAATAAAAACAAGTCATAAACTAGAGATACATTTCTTACGAACAATCAGATTTTTGAGGACTTATCTTGTTGCTCAGGTTGATGTGCGCTTAGATTGTGGGGTGATCGACATTGATATACTTCCGGTCAGTAGGAATAAAGCAGATATATAACAACTTCAGTTTTATTAAACTGAACATGTTGATTCTGTATTGTATTGTAGGCATCCATAATAATATGGAACAGTTATAAACTGTGGCAGATCTTCAATATTATGGACTTGATTTCGATTTATTAATAAAATATACAGAAAGAACAATAAACCATACAAATATTTATAAATAAAATATACAAATATCGCATTATTATATTATGTATATGTACAAAACCGTAATTGTTATCATATCCAATTTCTTGTAATTTAGGTACAACATACAAATAACCTTTAAAACACTCTTTGAACGTCTGGCCATATAAACTGTCGCTAGCTTATGGTGTATGTATCCAGTGAATTTATTTGTAAACGTAGTTATTGTTACCCGTATCCTGCCCATCCCCATGTACTTTTACATTATTGGCTTGACCAGTTAGAGTTGAATAATAAATAAACGGCACCATTTCTGTATCAAGTCGTATGTTAGGAACCTGCTTTGGCAACTTATTTAAAAACATATTTTTCTTTTTTTATAATTATGACAATATAAATTAACGTATTTGGAAATCATAGTACAAGTATGTCAATATACAAATGAGCAGTTTTTTAAAATTACATTACAACATTTCCAGATATAGTATAGGTCATGTGGCCTATCACATTGCCCTGTTCTCACTAATTTGGGCCGATAATGTTTCTCTTGTGATTTGGTTTTTACATTATTTTTTTATAAACGTTCAGTAAACTCAGTTTCGCAAGCTGCCCGATCAGTTGGTGGGTCTAATGTTCTTATTGGTGTAGGCACACTTTATGCAAATCAACTAATTGTTATGCATAACTGTGTACCAAAACGCAAGTATAATATAATATTATTTGGATAGTTGGATATCGAGTTAGTTGTGAGCGAAATCTCATAAACAATCACAAACACAATGTAATATAATATAACTTAGCTGTAGATAATTACTGATGCAAAATAAATGTCAATCTAAATAATATCCATCTAAAAGACTGGGACCACAGGGAGTTGGACAAACTTATGTATTTTAATAATTTTTTAAATAATAACATGTTATATAACTTTTCTTTTACCCCCCCCTTCCTGGTATCGATTTCAAGTAATCACTGATCTTTGTTCATACCACTCTTTCCTTTATCACAATCTTTGTTACCCGCTAATGCTATATGCAAATTTTAATGCGCTATGTAGACACAACATTCACGCCCTATTATAGAAAAATATCCCAAGGGTTGAAACGCGCCAGGACTGTGGCATGAGCACAACCGTAAAGCGGGTGGGCATTTAATTTATTCATTAATATTAATTTAAATCAGGCGAGTGTAATCTCCGACGCGACGCAACTTCAATGAATCAGTGACTGTAAAATGGTTTCTACTTCAAATGTCGTTCGCGTTGCTCTTCGAGACCTTTCTAATGAAAATAATCAAAGCGTCGCGTCGTCACATAAGATTATCGAGCATAACCTTTAACCTTTAAAAACCCAATATAATTCATGGGGAAATTGTTTACTTCTGATCATGTGACACAATAATATACGAGTTATTCTTTGCGATAGAGGTCAAAGATCGCAACATCCGGTTTCCGGCTTTACGGTTGTGCTCTTGCTGCAGTTTAGCAGCTCTTATTGGCCGCTTAAGCTATTTTGATATTACGTTGCGGCCATAGAGCTGCAGATCGCGTCCATTGAGAACCGCACAGTTCGCCGCCCCGGGATCCCGGGGCGCACGCTATTTTTGATGTTATCGAACGATTTTAATGAAATTTAAAACAAA